TTCCCAACAGGGCGACTACGAACCACCACCTAGCTGTGCCCAGGACTGCCACATGGCGGTCTTCCTGGAGTCATACCGCTGTAGGGAGGTGCCCCCCAACCACCTGTCTATGACGGGGAGGCCAGGGGTGTCCGTCCATCCAGCTCTCTGTGAGCTAAGGTGTCCCAGGGGGCACTGCTCCACCCGGCACTGCACACCCCCATGGCATTCGGTGCCCTGCAGGATGGGAGAGCTGCCCAGGTGTTCCCAGACTGCCAGGACAAACCCAGGCAGCATGGCTGGTGGAAAAAGCAGCTGTGGTAACCAGGGCAGATGAGTTGGTCACAAGTGGTTACCAAACTCTGATTGCTCGGGCAGCGCAAAGAGAACCGAAGTGGGACCATCTTACCCAGCCTGCCAGGAAACAAAGGCACAGGCAGAGGGGTAAAGAACCCCTCTCTAGTGAAACATTGCCTGGCACAAAAATACAGATTTTGGATCTTTTTGAAAGAAAGAAATTGTACAAAAATCTAATACTAAACTGACCTGCCAAGGCTAGGTCTGGCTACCTGTCAGTTTTTAGCTGTGTATTAACACATATTGGCATGTCAATAAATTCTAGTGTAGACAGGACACAACCCTTTGTTACTAGATGTGCTTAACCCCAGCTTGTCCCCACGGCTGGGCAGAAATGTTTGGTGCGTAGATTTTAATGGCCAGAAGGGTCCATTATAACCATCTCGTCTGACACCTTATTTCCAGTTTGAATTGATCTAGCTTCAACTTCCCACTGGCGGAGCTTGATTGTACACAAGCATATTCAATCATGTTCATTAACACGCGACAACACAGGACTCGGGGAGACAGACCCGCGGTCCAAGTGCAAAAGGGAAAGTAAACAGCAGCGCTGCCGGGATTCGATTTTGACACTCGCCGCTGTCATTACTAGCGAAAGGAAGGAGTGATAGACAATATCGTTTTTAATTGGCTGTGTCTATTTAACCTGTTAGTAGGGTTCCCCGCTGCGCCTTTTCCCACTTCAAAAAATGACTCTCTCCGAGACAGATCTCTAGACTATTACCGCTCCTGGATGCCTGACATCGCCTTTGTAAAGAACCATCACAGATCAACCACCCCACCCACCCCCCGCAACAAACCCCACCTCTCTATAGTTCTCTGCATACGGACTTTAAAGAAACTTGTGACCTGCTGCAAAAAAGAGAGAGGAGGAAAAAAAGACATATTTTATCAAAAGAGAAACTGAGGCCGAGAGGTGAAATTCCTTGGCTGAGGTCACCTAGGGAGTCAAAGGCCAGGGCAGGTCACAATCTCTGTGCCTCAATTTCTTCACCTGTAAAATGGGAAGAATGCTCCTGTAGCAAATCCACAGTGGCTTAGAACGTCCTGGGGGTCTCTGTGCGGTACCCCACGATCACCCAGAATGTCAGGGAAAAATCTCTCCTCCAAAAGCACAGGGCTGTACAGGTTGTGCTAAAAGAGAACTCCCATGAGCAGTTTTCAGTACAGGGCCTATGACACAGAGCTCAGCAGGGCTGATTGCAGCCAGCAGAGGGCAGCAGAGCCCAGACACACTGGGCAACGTACTGCAATACAAACTCGCATTTTAGTTTCCTCGCATTAGCTATTTGGTTAGTGAGGGATGCGAAGCTGCTCCTTTAAACCCCCCCACGAGTTTTGGACCCACGCCCTGTTCAGCCTGGCTGATGAGGCTTCCAAGAGGTATCATGATGCGTCCCTAACCCACAGGCTGGCAATAAACGCTTGCCGAGGACACCAGCCGGATGGGGCAGGTTGCATGACAGAAACACTTTGCAGCTGCCAGCAGCAAACTGCCTGCAGCCGGGCGCCTTCTGGTCCATATGGGACCGTGCCATTGCACGGGCGTCTCAGCCCAGAGCCGGAGACGCGCTCAACACATGAGGGACAGATGTTGGAGGAAAGGAAGGTGGGGGAGGACACATCAATGACATAATGGGGCGGGGAAGAGGGAGGAAATCTAGGGCGAGGCCCTGCTGCCATCAAAGCCAAAGGCTCAAGTCCCAGCTGGCTTCAAACAGCAACAAGGACAAGCCTTCCCTGCACAATAGGACTAATTCCTGCTCCAACCTGAGACGAATGAAACAGCAATTGAGGTGTCCTCCCTTCCCCCTTCCCAGTACAACAGCTCCGCGTGGTGGGGGAAAGTAAAGGCTTCTCTTTCCGTGCCTCCATCCCGCTTGCCCCTCCGGTGTAAACAGACATGCTGAGCTGAGTAAAGCAAGGACTGGACCCTCCGTAGCGGATTCAGACAAGCTGTATTCCCTGTTGAGCAAAGCCCTTCCCCTGGGATCTCTTTGGGGGCAGAGACGGTCGCTTTGTTCCATATATAAGTGTTTCGCTGGAGCGGGGCCGAAATGAGGAACGACCGCTGCATTTCGCACTGCGTGAGAGAGAGGAACTGCTTCCACTCCCAAACCCCGTTCTGCGGAGGGGGGAGCTGCGCCGCGGCCCGCTGGGACATCCCGGGAGAACCCAGTGGCGCGATCGGTCTCTCGTCAAAGCCAACGAGGGTACGTCTACACGGCCCTGGGTCTCCGAGCCTGGGTCAACAGACTCGGCTGGATCCCAGGCTCTGAGACCCAGTCCCCTGGGTCCTTTATTGCAGCATAGACAGACACTGAGAGTTTAGCCATTGGGTCCAGTGGATAATGCAAGCGGCTGGGACTCCGGAGATCTGGGTTCCATCCCTGGCTCTGCCGGTGCCCTTGGGCAAATCGGTTCCCTTTCCACCCTTCTTGTGTATTTGGGATACGAGTTCTTCCGGGCAGGGGCTGATTCTCACTAAGGGTCTGTACAGCACCTAACACAACCGGGCCTCTCGGTGCTGCTGTAATAGACAGAATTACTTCTGTAGGAGCATGGGAGCAGGCCCCAGCCCTCTGCGAGCGCCAGTCCTCCACTAAGCCACGCCAGCCTGCGAACTTTGGCCTCTTGGGAACCAGAGGGAAAGGAGAAAGGGCCAGGCTGGGGGGAGGATAGAACCAGAGGAAGGGACATGCTGAACGAGGGGGGACAGAAAATACCTTTATTCCATGTCTACATGTTCAAATGCAACGGGGAAGAGAAGAACGCAAACCCCAGTGGGATCTGATCCCTTTGTACAACGTCTTGCCCTGGCCCCCTGCTCCGTTGGCACACTCATGCCTACGCAGCCCCTGCGTGAGGATCTTTCTGCACCCCATGCGCCTGTCGGTAGCCAGTGGGGAGAAGCAGCAGTGCGTCACGTTTGCACACGGCAGGTCAGGAAGAAAAGGCCGCAGCTGCAGTTCCTGTCCCGATACCGTTTGTGACCAGCCAGGAGACGGCACGGATTGAGGGCCATGCACAGGCAGCGTGGATCAAAGAGGGGCCCAAATGGGAACTCCAGGTCCAAACACACCCAGGCGTTGACTCTGGTTCTGTTTGCGCCACAGCAGCCAATGCCCAGACCCTGGGTTCTGCAGTGCTAGCCTAGACTACCAGCCCACAGCCCTCCGCTGGCTAACGTGGGAAGCTGTCACCAGTTCAGGAACCACAAATGTTCCTGGACCTCAGAGCCTCCCTCCCACTCACTGGTGTCTGAAGCCAAAACATCGGCCGAGCTCAACGAAAACGTCCCTCCAGGAAGGAGTCTGGTGTCCCGAGCGGGCCAGGCCAGTTGCCACTAACGCCCGTGTAAGTCAAGAGCGAAGTCAACGGCGCTAAACCCACAGGCACCAGCTCAGAGCCGAGCCGGATTTCACCGGCTGCACCTCCCACCTTGCTTCCGCAGCACAACGGGGGAGTTCGGTGGTTTGTGGAAGTCAACTTGAATTAGAGCTCGTTTGAACGGCTCCCCCTGTTCTGCCCCCACAGCTTCCAGGTCGGCTGGCCTAAGTACGGGCTACGCTATAAAAAGCAGAGACGTGAAACGCCCACCCATCCCTGGGACCTAAATCTCTCCGGGGCGGCTCTGAACTGTATCCATAAGGGGTTCACTGCTACGTGATAAAGGCAGGCAGATCCTTACATACACTGTAGCCAACAAGATTTCACTCTAGTTCCTCGGGACGGCAATCTCTGTCCTGTCCCCATCCCCCAAGAAACCTTGCTTGGTCACAGCTTTTAGAACGTTACAGCCCAATTACGGCTCTCACACAGCACCCCGGGGGACTGGGTTATATTGACAAGAAAATGGGTCTGATTCGGATCTCACGCTCCGTCAGCGAGAATCAGGAGTAATTACACTTTACGTCACTGGGTAGAACCAGCATGAGGGCCTGGTTCCACACGCACTTATTACCTGGAGTAGCCCCTATGACTGGGTGTAGCCCCACTGAAGTCAAAGGGCTGCCCTCACTGCTCTGCCAGGCGTGGTCACGTACTCCTCCCAGAGTGAATGTGAAACGCGACCAGATCAGAACAAGGGACGGCACCCATTCAGCACCCAAAGGAAGTCACATCAACAGGACTTAAGCATGCGTTCAAGTGTTCTGCTGAATTAGGAGCAAAAGGCCGACGCAAGGGGGCTGAATCACCGCTCCCTCCAGCACAAATGAAGAGTGACTCAGCTCCAGTCAATGGATTGACACCACGGCAAAACTGGAGTAAGATGAAAGGAGAATTGGGTAAAGCGTGCAAAGCAACGGAGAAGCAGGCCAACCGCAACGATCCAAGGCACTGAGCCGCCGCAGAATCGGGCCTGACACGAGACCAGAATCGGGCCCCTTGATTTTAAAAGGGTTCTTCCAGATTTACATCAGCGGGAGCGGCCCAAAGCCTGCATGTGTTCCCCCAACCCGGGCACTGCTCATTTAGGTCATTTCCAACACCTGAATGAAAGAGACAAACCCACCAAACCGGAGAATAGCCTATTTTTAAAATGAAGTCACAGCCTTCTTTTGGAGCAGAGACGGGTCCCTGTTCCCTGGGGGCGGGGGGGGGGGGGGGGGGGGGGGGGGGAGGGGGTGACGGAAAAAGACCTGGGGCCTTAGGGGGGAAGGCCCCTTTTTTTTTTTTTATACAAAGTGCTTGTTACAGGAAGTTGCATCAGCGATACACGGGAAGGGGCGTGTGCAACTTGGCGACGCTTCCCCCCCCGAAAATAAAAAAGAAAAATTTTTTTTTTTTTTTTCTTTTTTTTTTTTTTTTTTAAAGTTTCTTTTCCCTTTTTTTTGTTGTTTTTGTTTGTTTGTGCATTAAATCTCCTGCCATTGTGTATTTACAAATCTCCGAAAGGAAAAAAAAATGCCAGGATGCATGATAAGTGGCCTTTCCACACACACACAAAAAAAAGATAAGTCTTGTTTTAAAAAAAAACAAACCCAAAAATCTACAAGTATCGTTTCTTACTGAATCAATGATAGAATTTTTTTTTTTTTAAGAGAAGGAAAAAATAAAAAATAACCAAACCAAAAAGGACCCACAGACACTGAAACAGAAAAGGAGCCACCATCCCTCTAAGTTTTCCAAACCAGAAAAAGTAGTAAGTACGTGTGAAATTCGAAACCAGGTGTCTGATTGAAAAACCTCATTCATTTCTTCTCGTTAATTTCGTCCTCATCTTTTTCCAGCGAAGGGAGGAATTTTGAAAAAATTAAATTAAAAACCAATATTAAAAAAAGAGAGAGATGAGAGAAAAGAGCCTCCCAAATTCCGCAGAGGTGGGAAGGAAGAAAATTGGGTGCGATTTAAAAAGAAAGCAAGAAAACTGGATTTTTATCTCCGACTGTGTAATTAACAACACTCTGTGGGGAGTCTGATGGTTAACTGGTGACGTAGTGTTTGGTGGAAGGCTGGCCGTAGACTCTATAGAAATCCTGCCGCCCGTGCTGCTGGGATGCGTCAATCCATTCCCTCACGGCAAGTCCGGGAAGCGACTGAGGTACAGCCGGAGCAGGGGGAAGCGGGTGGGAGTACTCCTGCGAAGAGACTGTCCAGGGGAAGTGACCCGACCTGGGGTACGGCTGGTGCCCGCTGTGATTGGACACCGAGGAACAGTAACAGTTATCCACTGAGCACACCAGGATTTTGCGTCCGCCGTACTGGGATAGCACAGACTGCTGAGATGACGTGCTATTGGGATAGTGAGACGGGTTGAAGACCGAACCAGAGTGGACTGGCTGCGGGCCACTGGGCAGTCCGACAATGTGCTGCGTGGAGCTACAAGGCACCATGGGTTGTGCGGACTGGCCCTCGCCAGCGGAAGCCCCCTGGCTCATATACTGGCTAGCCACAGTCCCGGACGATGGCTCTAGAAAGCTGCCTTCGGGGAAGGCCGCGGAGTGCTTGCGTTTCTCCGCTCCGGAGTTGCTGACGCTAGGGCACGGGTACATGGGGATGCTCTGTAGGAATGGGACCGGGGTGCTGAATGGACCTGGATGGGGAGAGAGAAAAGACAAACAGCCAGATCAGAAACCACCGCTGGAATTCAGGAGCCAGAGGGGAAAACTAACAACAGCTCAGAGAAACAACAAGACCAGAGGCGCCAACTCCGTGGCTGGAGCATCCAAGATAAAAAAAAAAAAAAAAGTGGGTGCTCAGCACACACCAGCCACCCACCAATCACCTGTTTGGCAGGCCCTGCTGATCAGCTCCTCCCCCTCAGCACCTCCCACCTGCCGCCAATCAGCTGTTTGGGGGGCCCCACTGATTGGCTCCTCCCCCTCCCCCCAGTGCCTCCCACCCGCCGCCAATCAGCTGTTCAGCAGCAGGCAGGAGGCGCTGAGGAGGAGGGGGACGAGCAGGGGTGGGAGGAGGCAGGGCGGGGCTGTAGCTGTGGGGAAGGGGGCACAGCGCCTCCTAGGGCATTGGTGCAGTACTGACTTGGAAGAGAGAGCACCCCCTACTGAATCACAATTAGCTCTTCTGGCAGCATCTAATAGCCCTTGGTGGTCTCCCAACCAATTCTAGCCTGGCCCATCGCCAGTGGGTGATGCTTTACACACGGCACCACTGGCATGCAACTGCTTCTGGGGTGGAGGCAAGCGGCCAGGCAGATCAGTTAACATTCAGCAACAAAGCAGAGAGGAGATTTTGGCCCAGGACACGTGGGCAAACTGCAGCTTCCAGGAAACACTCCAGAGGATCTTAGCTGTTGCCCATGCTGAGCCTTGGATTTGCAGGTCTCACCCAACCAAGACACTGTCAAGAACTTGGCTTCGGAAGGATGAGCCAATCCAGCTAGATTGGGACCTCCCGTTCCCAGCAGTCTAGGCAAAATTGAGGCTGGGACCAATAAAGCATCAAGGCCTTTGGGGGAGACCTACCAGGCCATCCTGTCTCCCACCCGAAGCTAGTGGGAAGAGGCAACCCCCACCCCATCTGCTCTCCTGGGCCAGCCCACTAGGACCTGCGGACTCCTATCGGTACCAGTCCCTCCCTGCGGGCAGGAGCTCTCCATCCTGCGCAGACCGCGGTGGCCCAATCTGGGAAGCAGCCAAGAGTCCAGCGAACAGGGGGGGGCTGCAGAAATGATCCGAGAGGCAGGCGCTGACGTTCCCGCTGTCCCTTCTCCCTGCAGACTGCAGCCCTGCCTGAGGCGTCGCTGCCATGCTTCAGAGAGGGCGGGCACTGGAATCGGACCCACCAATCACCGCACTCGTCCAGAGGGAGGGAGCTGGAGTCCGCACCCTCGGGCAACCATCCAAAGAGAAGGGATGGAATTTGCCCCCTGCACCGAGGCGATGGCCCACAGGGAAGGAGGAGCTGGAAGCTGGTTTCAGAGCCGGGGTCGAAGCTGTAATTACAGGGCCATGGTCTGGTTCCAGCCCTCCCGAAGCCCGTTCCCAGCACCGGAGCTGCATTGATGTCGGCCAGCGTACAAGGCGAACCCCGGCTGGGTCTCTTGGAAATGCAGGGCTCCGTACACCAGCCAAACATGACCTCACCCTCCTTGCCGAGCAGCCGCTGGCTAGGGACGCTCTGCATTAGTAGTGCAGCCATTTGGCAGGGCCTAGGAGCAAGAGGAGGCAGTGGGGGAGGGCAGGCAAGAACCACAGAGCCTGGAGAAGCCAGATCTGTGGCTAGCTCAGTCACCCCAGCGTGTGAAGCACACTCTGCAGTCCCAGGCCATGATTTCAGGAGCCCCTGCCTGGTGGCAATGCTAGCCACCACGGGCTGTTAATTATCCTGGGAACTAGAGGAAGCCATGGGGTTTGTCTGTGTCCGGCAGCTCCAATACAGAATCCCATCTACATCCGTTAGAGAGGATTTCTGCCTCCTCTTTACCTAAAGGGGCACAACCGCAGACATTCAGAGTAACACCATTGATTCCAGGGCCATCTGCAGGAGAAGAATCAGACTCAGATTTCTACCTTGTAACAGGGCGCCAAGTTCTAGCTGCCCGCGCAGACCTGCAGGCCTCTTGCTAACAGATAGGCAGAGTTATGTCTGCTGACTCACCTCGGCAGCCAGACCAGGTGGGCCCTATTAGCTCCAACCCAGGGCTATGAAAGGAGACAAAGGGAACTCAGGACAGGGCTAAAGGGGTCCTGCAGGGACAAACTCTAAGGACAGCCAGTTGAGGTTTCTTTTGTTGTTATTTAAGTTAATGCTAAAGGCAAATGGCAGGAAGGTGCCCAGATACCATGGTGATGGGAACCAGAGACAGACAGAGGTAAATTTAGCCCAGATCCGGTGTGTGTTCTGTGATTGGAACAGGGTGGGAAAGTCACCTGCCTGCATAGCCATTTTCTGTCACTACTTTGGGAGAGCCGGGAGAGTAATTAAAAAGACTAGCATCTAGTTCAAAGAATTCACTCCAGTCCCTTCGTATTGGCTGCTGAGCAGCCTTCAAGAGACAGTGCATTTTACTGGCACGAACGTTTGCAGAAAGCAAACCTGAAATTCACCCGGGCGCTTGCACAGCAGTTGTGCGTGGGCCCCTGGCACGGAGTTGTGCTGCCTCTTTTGATTTCTAAACCTGCTCGGCCGTCAGGGGGGCGCCCGGGGAAGCTGGTACAGCCAGCAGCCGTGCACAGCATTTCAGGACAGGAAGTCGCCCGTGAGCAGCTCTTACCACCACTGCCCAATCCTCCATCCTCCCCCATGCCCTCCCGCCAGACCCTGTTCATTGTCCTCCGGGCTGGGTTAACTCGACGTTAGCCTGGAAGATTCTTGGGCCGGGTGAAGCCCCAGACGTGCCCATGGCACTGTATGTACACAACAAACGACGCCATAACCAATGGAAATGGCATGTAGGGAGGCAGAAGGCAGTTCTCCAACCGGGCCAGAGCACCGGCGCGATCACCTGTCCTGGGAAAAGGGCCCTGGGATCCTCAGTGATTGCTGAAACCAGAACTCTCTCATCCCGGTGATCCAGATCATAGTCCCCGGACAACCTGCGCTGGAGGCTAGTTCTGCAAGTTGCTTGGTGGCTGCAGCAGACCCAGGGAAGGGCAGCAGAGCGGCAGGGGATGTTTCCTGATGGGTCTGCCGTCCTTGCAGACACACACAAAATACAGAGGGCCGTTTCCTGCATGTAAACCCCCTTCACGCACAAAGGGCCGGACCCTGATCATGGTCACACCGGCATCAATCCGGAGCAAAGCCACTGGAGATCCTGTGGCTTTACTGCAGCGACGCAGAGATCAGAGGTCACGAGGGGGTTCTGGGCTGATTTAAACCCTCATGCAATTAACGCACAAGCACCGGTGCATTCAATCCCCTGCACATTTTTAGCCTGGGGAGCTGCCCTGTTTCCTTTGGTAACCCTGGACATGCAGAGCGATGGTCTGTCAGCACCATGCTGCAAAGAGCGGATCGACTCCAGCCCTGGGCTAATGCTGCTGACCTCAGAGCTATGACACCGTGGTGGGGTGGGGGGGAGGGAAGATCCGGCTTCCTCTCTCCCCGGATGCCACCGGCATCTCGATCTCAGGGCGCAGAGCGCTGCGTGACAAGGCCAATGGTTCAGAGGGACGCCTCACCTTCCAGCAGCTTCCTCAGCTGCTTCTCCTTCTTGGCGATCTCGTTCAGGAAGAGCTTGGAGTTGAGGTGGCCGATCTTGGGAGGCGGCAGGCTGCCGCCCGTGCAGTTCTGGGTCCTTTAGGAACCGGCAAGGAAAGCAAAAGGACTCGTTAAAAGCGTCGAGCTTCCCCTCCTCTCCCCTCACCCCCCCCACGCTCTGCCCGGCTCCCATCTCTCCCCAAGCCTTTCCCAGAGGCTGACAGCTGCGGAACATCTGCAATTAGCTCCGCTTCGGCCAGGGACGGAAAGGCCTTTACATCAGCCAGTCCCTCTCCTGGGCGCCATTTCCCGGGGCTTTGGCCAGCCTAGTTTTAAAAGGGCCCCGTGGTGCGACTCCCCCAACCCCCATGCGCTATTTCCCTTAGGAGACGCCCCCGTAGCCGGACATGGCACAGGCAAGAAGTCGCTCCTGATATCCAGCCTGCGTTTCCTTTCCATTCAGCCCATTAGCCCCAGTCAGATCCCGGGTACCATCCGACAGTGGCCCCCTCCCTTCTGGGGGGTCTTATGCCCTGTGATCACGGCCCCCCATTCCCAGCTCTTTTAATCTCTCCTCCCAAATCAGTCCGTGGCTCTCCTTGGAGCTGCCCTTGGGCAGGAGGCGAATGTATCTGTTAGGGCTCTTCCCAGGCCTGGCCATGTCACAACTAGGGCATGGACTTCCTCGGGGTGCCCTGCGTGCGTCTCTGCAGCCAGCAAGCAGGCGAGGACCATGCTGGAGAGACCAAGAGGTGCACCCTGCAGGGGTGGCGACCGCGAGTCCTCGCAGTGCCGGTCATTAGGCCCAGGGATGGATCCACTGAGCTAACAGGGCCACGTCTTGCACTCGGTCCCTTCTGATGAGGGCTCACTCTTCTGGGAGAGCGTGTGACTTTTCTCCCCACCTTCCTCCTCACCCCAGATAACGGCTCATACAACCACCACGCTTTCTACTTCTACAGCGCTTCTCCTCTGAAGATCTCAAAGCACTCTACACATGGCAACGACTCAAACCTCCCAAACCCCCGGGGGGTACATTCTTAGCTCCATTTTTCAGAGGAGGGAAACTGAGGCACAAGGCAGGGAAGTGACTTGCCCAACATCACTCAGTGAGAGACGGGCCTAGAAGCCAGATCGCGCGAGGCCTAGCCCTGTGTCTAAGCCACGCTCCGTAGCCCTGCAACACAGCCTGACGACGCCTCCAATCCCACCCTTGCTTGAGAACATGAGTTGCCCAGAGACTGGCTTCTTACCTGTCCATTAAGATTTTCACGGACTTGGTATTCTACAAGGGAAAGGAGAAACCCTGGTCAGTGGCTGCTGTGTCCCGATGCACCTCTCCCAGGACCTGCAGCCCCCGTGCCCCACACGCACCAGGCCTGGCTCTCTCCTGAGCAGAGATCATGCCAAATTGCCGCAGGGGGCGTGAGATGCGGATAAGTCACCCGCCGGGGGCTGGGATGGGACAGAGTCACCTGGCGCCGGTGTTACAGTTCAGGAGGAGGCTCTCCAGGGATGAACGGCTTCCTTTAAAGCCTCTTTCCTAAGGAAGCCAGCACAGGCGGCAGGAGCTCAGGGGTTGATCATCCGCCTTAAAGGAGCAGAGCTGTCTGGGGCCTGCGAGCAGGCGATTACCACCAGAGGAGGGTGAGGGGAGATACTGGCCCAGCCACTCCCCCACCCCAGCTTCGAGGCCGGGAAGGGCCCCTTGATCAGTCGGAATCCACCCGGGGAGCGAGGTGAGGCAGAGGGATCGAGCCGCTTCGTGCACCAGCTCAATCGGGGTTTGGGTGGGAGGCCCTAAAACCCACCCAGGCTCAGGAAGGTGGGAGATCCTGAGGGTTCCCCTTTTCTGTTTAGAGATGATCCACTCGGGCAGGGCCAACCACTGCCAGCCTACCCCAGGAGAAACCAGCTAATCCACAGCAAGGACGGAGGTGCATCCCGGCTCACAGCCGAACAAACGGGCCGGTGGGCTGGAAAAGCTACGCTGGCCACCGGGAGACTGGGGCCAAAATTAGACTCTTGGGAGGAGCCGATCCTGCCTTGTCCCCTGCCCAGAAGCCCCCTCCCCTATGGCGCTCTACCTCCTCTTCCAGGCTGGGAGATGGGGGTATCGACGGAGTGGGGAGAGCTGGCGTGGGAGAATCACGAGGTTACTCTGCTCCCAGCCCATCACTAAACTCGAGTGTCTTTGTTCTGGGGGCACGATGGGGGAGGGTATGCTCAGGCCAGGGACCCTGACAAAGTAGTTGCTTCCCCAAGAGGTCTCCCATCCCTCCCCTACTCTGTTAGAATCCGGCCACCAGCCCCGTTATCCCATGGGCTCCCCCTCTGCCCTCCCATGGCCAGCTGGTCCCCCTCTCGGCACCTTCATGAAGTTGATGTCCTCGGTCTTGTCGAACATGACCTGGACGGAGCTGAGCAGCTTCTTGGCCTCCTGCATGCGCTCGTTGAGGTGCAGCACCTGGGCCGCGTTCTCGTTGCAGAACTTGGCCTGGGCCTTTTCCAGGATCTCCATGGTCTTGCGCAGGTCCTCGTCCAGGAGCTGGTGCATCTTCTCGTACTGCAGGCGCACCTCGTCCTTCAGCTGGCTCACCTTCTCCTGCCGGGGGGGAGGAGAGAGCGCCCAGGGTCAGCGCCCGCCACGCCCGCTCGCTGCAGAGCCCGCCCACCGTCCTCGCGGAGGGACGGACGGACGGGGACAGGGCCTGCTAGTGCTTTGCCAACATCCCCGGCCTGCCCCGCCGCTCCCCACCACCTGTCTCTTGACAGGCCAGCCCTTCGCCTTTGCCTCAGCCCGTTGACCAAGATATTCAGGGCTGTGGAGGTATTTACGGGAGGGAACAGCGTGGCCCTGAGGGTCAGGATGCCTGGGTTCCATTCCTGGCTCGGGGGAGCAGGGGGGGGGATTGGCAGGGTGAGCTGAGGAGTGATCACAGTGGATTAATCAGTGTCGCCTACCCAGGCCTAGCTTCTAACAACCCAGAGAACAGCCTTTCCCTGCCCTCTGCCCCACCCTGCACTAACTCCATCCAGAAGCCAACGTGACCTGCAGCCGCAGGCCTCGGTGCACTGCCGCTGCCGTGCCTGGGAAGGGCCGTGATGGGTGGAGGAGCAGTTCCAGGGCCGTCTGCCAGCCGGACCATCCCTGGCCATGCAGCTGAGCAGCCTGGGAACCGCAGAGGTCCCAGGGCGGCTGTGGAGGCGCATGGCCTCTGCTGGGATAGTGAATTCCCTCCAGATCCAAGCAGATCGCCGGGGGTGTATGGGGGCTCAACTCCGCCCCAGAGCAGCCAACTCCACCAGCGAGGGGAGCTGCCTCCAGGGCCTGTTCAGGCCTTGGTTCCTCAGCCGAGCCTGCCCGCCGAGGGGCCAGATCCCTCCGCGCTCACCGGCTTGAGACACCCCCAGTCAGTTTCACCCGGAGCCAGCGAGCTAGAGCTGAAAGGCTCCACGTGCCCCCTGCTCTGCCTGAGCCCCCCAGGGGGGTGACCTGCCATGCCGTGGGGCCATAAAGAGGAGGGGGACGGAAAATATTAACCTCGGTCTCCGAAGTCTCCCCTCTCCTGTGGATTTCGGCGCTTCCCCCCCGACGTCCCTATATAAGGGTCTCACACCTCTGGGTCTCCTGCCCTGCCCAAGGAGGCATTGGCACCCCGCTTGGCTTGGAGTGTATTAAGATAGTTCCCTCCCCCACCTCCCAATGCTCCCCCACGCTTCCTCTTCCATGGCCCTGGGGGAGAGCAATGAGAACCCCCAATAGCCTGATGGAGCTGGGGGCAGGCAGAGGGGCTGCGTGGAGCCGCAACGAAAAGCTCTTGTACCAAATGACTTTCCCCCACTTCCCCAACCAGGGCTGCCTGGCTGGCACCTGAGGAACGAGGCACAGAGAGACAAACCCAGCCCCGGCTGCATCCCAGCCCCCCAGCGTCTGAGCAGGGCGCCCCCTCCTCCCCCGAGAGGGCAGCCCCACATCAGCCCCTTTGCTCCCCACACCCTCGCTTAGCCCCGGCTTCACTTGGGGGTCCATTCTGGGCCCTGACTCCCCTAATGAATCCGGATGTCCAGCAGCTCCGGGAGACCTCCCACCAGCATCGGGCCCCTGCTGGATCCTCAAGCAATGCAGCTCTGCTCTGGGGTGATTGCCCTGGCCCCGAGCAGAGAGTTAACTCCATGCCGGCTGGACCTCCGTCCCCCTAACCCCGGCATGCCCAGCACCACGGAGCCGCAGCCGCCTCGAGGACGGAAGGCGATGCCCGGGCAGCCCCCGGTGCGGGAGGACTGGCTCGTGCCCTGCTGCCGCGCGAGACCCTGCCTTGGTCGAAGGGCGCGGGCACGAGGGAGGGAAAAGCACCAGCTACCTCGACCAGCCGCTTGTCCGACTCCAGCTTGTAGAGCTGCTCCTCGATGTCCTGCTCCCTCTCCTCCAGGCGGTCCTGCTGCTTCATCAGCATCTTCTGCAAGAGAGCAGGGGGCAAACGGCCGTTAGGTGAGCCGCAGGGGCACGCGAGGGAGGAGAGACGCAAGCGGGATCGGGCGTTACACAACATCAACGGGGCAGCTGAGGTGGCGTGCTGGCTACCGGGTCAACCGTTTCTGTTTAGGACCCTGCGTTTCGGCTCCCCGCTACGAGCGACAATGACCATCACAATTACCCAACGGGCCGGTACTGACTGGGTTTGGCGGGGCAGACACTCTGGCACCCCAGCAGGAGGAGATCTGGGGTTCCGGCTGGCCTGGAGGAAACAGCACACCTTTATAAACTGAGGGAGGAGCTGCCGGCTCCACTCACAGCTGCCTCCACTGAATACGCAAAGGTATCTATCCACTGTCCCTCCCAGACCTTCGGAGAACCATGGGGCTGTACTGTATTCCCGGGGTCTCCCGTACGAGTCCCCTTTGCCACAGCCGCTTCCTATAGGACCACCAGGTCTGGTTACGAACAAGTGTTGACGCAATCGGAAGGGGCTACCAAGAGTAACAGCGTAAACAAGACGAATGGAGAAAAAAGTGCATCCCATCTGCTCCCCATCCATTCTCCTCCCTCTGTCCCGTGTAGCCCCACTTCCCCATTATTCAGGAACAGGGTTTGTGTTTAAGCAACCAAGTAAAGAACCCAGGGAATAATAATACTGGCAATAAATTTAACAGGCTGGCTGAGCACGTTGTAGCCCTCTCTAATGGCTAGTAAGGATAAGAGCCTACTACACCAGCAGCTGACTGAGTTACTCCTTTAGCTCTAGAGGTAGAAGCTGATGCATAGGTACGGAAGTTTGCAAGTTCAATCCCCACTCATAACTCCCGGTACAGGGTGTTACATATATGTGGATCTTACTACTACTCAGTTACACTTCTAGAGGCCTTTCCCTACATGAGAGGATCCCAAAGTGCTGTGTAAAAGAAAGGTTACTCTCATTCGATACACTAGGAACCGAGGCAAAGAGAGATGTCCAAGGTCACAAAGCGAGTCCGTGGAAGAGTTGGGAACAAGTGCCAGATCTCTTGACCTCCAGTCCAAATCCCTATATCCCCCGATTCTTTCAGGGGTGATGACAGAAGGAACTATTTATAGTATCGCCTCGCTGATCTGAGTGAAATGTGCAGTGTATAGGAACAAGGCAGTATCCCTTTTAATAGCTTGTGAGCCCTCTAGTGACGCTCACTGGGTTCTATGCTGTAGACACTGCCAGAAACTAGTCAGACCAGCCGTGTGTCTGTCCCTAGGCCTCACGTGTTCATGTATATTTAGTAAACATGGTTATTTGGGACCTAACTGTGCCCCTGTGGTTCCTTCGCATTGTTTCTGTTGTGTAAAGAGCGAAAGACACAACAAGATGGGCAATACGAAGGTAATGCAGATAAACAGCGTTTCAGATGCGTCCCAAAAGATGGGAGAAGGTGACCTCATTTCTGATACATGTGTTTTTTGGATAATAAAGATTCAGCTAAACCAAGCTTGCGAAATCCGACTCCCACCACAAGGAGGTTTTTTGGCTGGGGGAGTGAAATATCATGAGACGTTTTCTAGGCTGATCACTGTCAAGGTGGAATCTGGGGCTGGGCTGGTACATTTTCCCATTGATTAAAAAGGGGGTTTCAGGCTCCTCCGGCGAGAGAGGAAGCTCTGGCAGGTTCCCCCCGACGGCAGCGCACTTGGAGAGAAGGTCCGTCCTTGAGAATTTAGGGATGAGAGAGGAAAGAACATTTTCAAAGCTGCCCCGCAAGCAACTTCTATTTTCTAACCGGGGGAACCTTGTTCTGGGAAGAGGACAGTGTATTTTCCAGCTTCAGCCAGATGGAAGAGACATACACGCACACGCCCTAAAAGACAGAATAAATTAGAAATCCAAAAATGGCTACAACCATATGAGTCATCTGCTAAACAGCTTGGCTCGGCGGCCCGGCATCCCTGCCAGAAGGCAAGCGAAGAGCCACTGGTATAGGATCAGCGCCGGGCAACTCCAGTTGCTACGTCAGGGGCGCCCTGCCCGTAACACACACACACAAAGAATTCTCAGACGTTTGCTCTTAATTCTTCCTGCATTAATCCCATCAGAAAAAGCCGCTGGGCTCCTAACCGTTAATGACCGAGGCAGAAGGGAGGGGTCGGTGGGAAACGAACCGGTTGGACACGGCACAGCAACGGGGACATGGAGGGAAATGGCAGCAAAGACCAATTTTGAGGGGATTATTGCTAATATAAACCAGCACTCGGGGATTTATAATCAAGTAATTAATTCCTGGTCTAAGCAGGGGGAGGGAGAGCGGGAGAGAGGCGGTGGACGGAGCTGCCACGATTAATTGCACCGCAGGGAGAGGCTGAAGCCTTCAACTTAATTCGTAAGCAAGAATTTGGAGCCTCCTCGTTTCTTGTTTTTCTGAAGGTCTGGGGCACCTGCAGCCTCATTAACACGTGGATAAGTCAAGCACTAGTAGACGAGTGGGCCCTCTTGGGTATCTTCGCCTCCAGCCTCGGTCCCTTCAAGAGATACTGACGGGTCAAACTGGCCCTGAATCTCGGCTCTGGATCAAACCAGCATCCCCCAGTGGGTCTGTACGCAGCCCCCACTCTGCTCTCCATGAGGACCTGAGGGGGAAACTGACTTGAAACTGACTCGCAGCACTAGTGAGCCTGACTAGATGCGCAATGAACAGGAAGGGGGTGGGGTGTGTGTGTCAGGAACAGCAGAAGCATCCTAAAAGTGTGGGGGGGGGGGTGTGCCCCCCCTCACCACCCCTTCTCCCTGAGCCCCCGCTCCACATTCCCCCTCGAGGCCCCACCCTGCCCCTTCTTCCCCACCTGCCCCTTTCCCCGAGGCCCTGCCCCCAGCCTCTTTCCCCCAAGAACCCCCCTGCTCGTGCCTCTCCACCCCCTCCCCCCATCGCTTGCTCTTATGGCTATGCCCTTCCCATTTTAAAAGTGGGGAGACCATGGCTCCCTGGTCCCCCCCATTCTGGTGCCCCTGGTGTGTGTGTGTCTCTAGGTGGTTGTAAGAAACTGGTGTTGGAGGTTGTGGGTGTACACACATACACACACACACTTACAGCATTATTAATATTTATATTGCAGTAGCACTGATTGGCCACCAGGGAGAACAGGGCCCTGCTGTGTTAGGTGCTGTACATACGCAGAGAGTGCCCCCACCCTGAAGAACTCACCATCTCAACAGACAAGGCCACATGGGGAAGGGAAGCGGAAGTACAGGGAGGGAGGGGACGTGACCTGCCTACGGTCACATGTGTCAGTGGTGGATCTGGGAACAGAGCCCCGGTCCCCTGACAGTGCGATACCCCATCCACTGGGCTTCACTGCCCCCCTCATCACTCCCCTCTACTGGCTGGAATATGAACTGCCCCCTTCTGTGTCATAGGCCTTTAAAAAGCCCAAGTACAATTACTAACCACACAGGAGGCAACAGGAAGATCTGAGGCATATTAATCCTGGCTCCCCAGTCTAGCAGTGTCCGCGATCCAGTCCACCACTGCTCAGTCTGGGCCAGACCTCTCCCTCCTTCTGCAAGCCACAGAACCATGCAGCTATGGAGCCTGCGAGTGCCCGTTCCTTGGAGCCTGCATTGAGTGGTTTTTAAGGCCCGGCTTGACAAAGCCCTGGCTGGGGTGATTTAGTTGGGGATTGGTCCTGCTTTGAGCAGGGGGTTGGACTAGATGACCTCCTGAGGTCCCTTCCAACCCTGAGATTCTATGATTCTATGAGTGCAGCTTGGCCAGACCCCAGGGTAAAGCCCCCTAGATCTGGACAGGTGGACCAGTTAGCTGGGACCTATCCCAAGAGCACGTGCGTTTAAACACATAGCGACTTTGGATCAGAGCCCCGGTGAAGGCCTGCTCAGGACTCGGGGTCACGATTCTGGATGTAAAGGCCTATAAGGCGCTTTACACTCCGGAAGGCAATAGCTGGCGTTTCCCCACATGGAATCCAAAGGCCACTGACTGATGGGAAAGTTACAAGCTACAGCTCAGTCCTTTAGCCGCGTTAACTAGAGCCGCATTCTGCATTGCACAAGGCACAGACAGATCCCTGCTCAGACTCATTCGCACGGTACCGAAGAGCGCCACCGATCAGCGTCACCCACATTTTCTCTGCCGCCCCATGGGGCTCCAAGACGTCCAAGAAAATAGCTGCATCCTGACGCTTGCTTACTGCCAGCCACATCGATGGCTCCCACTCCACACCCAGAACGAGCGCCGGACTATTGGGAAGAACTGGGAATCGCCGTGAAAGGAGATGGAGGTTTCCAGCAGGGTCAATGTCAAAGCTGGAATGCATGTGGGCATTTCCCTCCTAAACAACGCAGCCCGCTTGGAGCGGCATGTCTCACTCACAGCGGGCGACGGGCTGTCTGATTCCCCCAATCCCATGCCAAGCAAGGTTTGCCGCTGACATAAGCCAACTATCTTCATCAAATGCAAGATCTGTCCAAAGGACCCTGCTGATTTTTGTGGGTCACTTCTTCTCTGACGACTGGCTCCTGGTTCTCCTCAATCAACACGCAGGGAACCAGCCGGCGAGCTGGCCCCCTCTGCATCTGCTCACAAGGTTACCTCACTGCTTGAAAAGGTTTCTTTGCCTTTGGAATACCCTTGGGAAGTCAGGTCTAACCATGAATCACCGCTGTCCAAGCCAGGAGTTGACAAACTTTGCCACGTCCCCAGCTTCCCCTCAGAGGAAAAAAAAATCACTTCTCAGGGGCTTCCCAGAAAGCCGAGCGCTCCTGAAACCTCTACAAAAAGCCACTACAGGCAGCCATGGAAACAGGAGCAACGCAAGCGTCTCTGGAACGCTAAAGAACCCCCAGGCCAGTCTCCGGCACAGCTCCTGCTTGCATGCCCGTTCCAATCCTTGGCCTCAAGCTGCACACCACGTAACCTCGGCCGTTCCCACGGCCGTACAACGGCGCAGCAGCCTGATCAAAAGCCTTTCGTGAGGCCACCATGC